AGAATTTTATAATATCTTCTTCACTCGCACTGCACCCATCTTTGAGCTTCACAAATGCACATGGTGTTTCACCCCAGTGGTCATCAGGTCTTCCCACAACAGCAGCTTCAAGAACTGATGGATGGCTGAAAAGAACAGACTCCACCTCAATCGAGCTAATATTCTCTCCCCCAGAAATGATTATGTCCTTAGAACGGTCCTTCAGTTCTATGTAACCATCAGGGTGCCTCACCCCCAAGTCCCCACTTCGAAACCATCCGCCATTGAAGGCTTCCCGTGTGGCTTTGAGATCTTTTAAGTATCCACTCATCACAGTGTTGCCTCTGACCATAACTTCACCAATGGTTTTTCCATCGGCTGGAGCACTCTCCATGGTGACAGGATCCTTTATGTCCACTTCCTCTAGCCCAACATGCTGCAATCCTTGGCGAGAACTTAGCTTTGCCTGTTTATCTTGAGGGAGTGAATCCCATTCTGGTTTCCAAGAGCAAACTGTTGCTGGCCCATAAGTTTCGGTCAAACCATATGCATGGACAATCAGGAATCCCATTGCTCTCATCTTAAAAAGAACATGGGAAGGCGGCGGAGCGCCACCAGTCATCATGGTTACCTTCCCTGGAAGGGGCTTCTGTTCGCTTGTTGGTGCATTGATAATCATGTTTAAGACAGTAGGTGCGCCGCCCATATGAGTAACCTTATGCAGAGATATATTGTCAAAAATTTCTTTAGCACTCGCGTTTCTCTGGCAGATGTTTGTGCCGCTCTGTGCAGCCACGCCCCAAGTTAAGCTCCATCCATTGCAGTGGAACATTGGAACAACCCACAGATACACAGGGAGTGAGCACATATCATTCAGAAGAACTGCAGAAAGAGCATTGAGATATGCACCTCTATGGGAGTAAATAACACCTTTTGGCCTTGATGTTGTGCCAGAAGTATAATTAAGAGCAATTGGATCCAATTCATCTTTAGGCCGCCTGATCTTGAAATCGAGTTTTCCAGACTCTAAAAGGCTCTCAAACTCTAGATATCCTGAAGCAGAGCCCTCTCTGTCGATGTGGGAAGGTGGCTGATCATATTCATTAATAATGACAACAAGAGGTATCTTTTCTCTCCTTTCGGACATAGCTTTAATTGCTCCCATTACAATATGTTCAAACTGGTAATCTACAACAATGATTTTAGCTTCCGAATGGCTCAACAGTGTAGAAACCATTGCCGCATCATGGCGTACGTTGAGGGAGCAAAGAACTGCACCAGCCATCGGTACAGCAAAATGAAGCTCGTACATAGCTGGAATATTCGGTGCCAAGGCAGCAACCTGCTCGAGAGAATCGTAATTCGCCGCAAAATTAGCCGAGAAATGTGCAGAAAAAGATTAGTCTAACCAAATACCTCAAAGACCTCAAAACTATAGATTCACTATTGATCATAATAAGAAAGGAACCGGAGTTCAACCATCAGAAGAACTACTATCGTCGACACAAAATAAGATCCGTAAGCTTCAAATCATCGCCAAGTAAAGAACAACATCATAAACAATTGCATCGATATAACTCGCAGATCAAATAATTTGTAGTTCTGCATAAAAAGCCATATTCAGATACTAAGGATGAAAAAAGGAGCGTTGAAAATACAGACCACATCTCCACGAGCGATTCCCATTCGAACAAGAGCAGAAGCGAGCCTGGTACATCGCAAAAGCGTCTCTCTCCAAGTGTATTGAACACGTCCATAGACGAGAGAAATCCGGTCGCCGTAAACCGCGGCGGAGCGCTCCAAGAAGGTGATTGGAGTGAGAGGAAGGTAATTGGCAGAGCAGCGGTCCATTCCGTCCATGGATTATGCAGAGAAGAATCAATGAGCATGCGATTCTGCTGCTGTGCAACTGCAAGACAAATGCAGTGTATTAGCCACGTGAAGATAATGAGATTAAAGAGAGAAAGAGAGAGGTGGAAGATGACTCAAGGAATGGCGAGAATGGGTCTAGCGTCTAGATTTGTCCATTCCGAGTCGTCGTTTTCGCCTTGCTCTGGATTGATGTCAATCATTTGGATTTTTTTTTGGGAAATATATAACTCCAAATTTAGCTCACTGAAGATCAAGTACAATTACTTCAACAAAAAAATTAAATTACTCTCAATCTCAATTTTGTGTGGAATAAATATATTCCAACCAATCAATTTTGTAATTTTGTAAGTGTAATTTTATAAACTCTACCTTTTGTTTTTAAAACATCATTTTTATTTTTCAAAAGGTAAAATACTAAATTTTTTGGAGCAGAAATCAGCTTGAGACCTATAGTACTGTAGTTGTAAAGAAGTGACAATATAAATTCCATTTAGGTCACCACCAAACCATTCTATATCTCAATTTCTAAGTTTGACCAAACCATTCTATAGGTCACCGCCAACTCATTTTGAAATATTGATTAATTAAATACTAAAATATCGTACGTCCTTTCTAATGTGTTAGGTCAATCGAACTGCGATTTACTTGGCGACATCTTAGTTTTTGATTCAAAAGGCGTTTTAATATTAGGCAATTTCAGAGTTCGATTGCTACCCGATCAACGCATCATATGTACGAACTGAACTCCATTGCACAAGAATTTTCAATGAGATACACAGCACCTTATTTTTCTGATTGTTAGCATACAAGGGTTGGGAGATCATCAAAACATGGGAAAAAAATAAATCTTAACCCCACCATCCCGATTGTAGTTCTTTTAATTCCATAATTATAGAGTGATTAATAGAATCGTCGTCATTATTCGAATACAATGAAAACATAGAATTTCACCAACAAGTGAAGCTTGCTGATTGCACAAATGCAATGTGCATAAACAATAGAATGCAATAGAATGTACAACAGGGAGGATTATGGGAGATCACGGGAAACCCCTAATCATAAAAATAATTCCCAAGGAATCATCTAAAACTTACATAAAAAAAGCCTGGGGTGGGGTGTACCTAACCAGAAGTCTACAGAGGGTTGAAATAAAACAAGTTACCTGGCAGCTCAATAAATTCACTATATTTGTGCATCATGTGGTGACCGGAAGGTATAAGAGACCTTTCAAATACTCCACAATCTCAGATCCTCCCAGCTTGGAAGTTCCAAACACTCTATCAACAAAGGTAATTGGAACCTGTAGGCCACAGTGAAGCACAAATCATATCAAATTTCCCCGTGTAAGACGGGCCATAGGGAAAGGGCTCAAAACAAAAACAAGAAAAATTGAAAAAAAAATATTATATTCAAACACTTAACTGAGGTGGTTGAGATCCCATGATGGGCAGAAATGAAGGGAAATGATTTCTTTCCTTTTCCAATAGAAAATTAAGGGAAAGAAATATTGTAAAAACAATTACATTTGTCACAGCCACAGGGCACAATTCTACCTCTTCAATGTGATAACCATTTCTTGTAGCTCGAACAATCATCTCCATTTGAAAGATATATCCCTTGCTAACAACTGAGCTAATGATATTATCAAGCACCGATTTTTTGTAGAGCCTACAACATAGGAATGAATCATCACTTGAGAATTATAGAAGTATGAACGATTAATTCAATTGATAAATTGAAAAAGAAAAAAAAAAACTGCTTACTGGAAAGATCCAGTTAAATCTGATACACCAGACCATAAAAGTGTTTGGGCAAGAACGTTAGCACCTCCACTGGTTAGTTTGCGCATAAGATTCCATCCATGTACACCGCCACCTTTCACATATCGGGTTCCTGTAACTATATCGGCACCGGTTTGTAACTGCTTCCTGCAAAAAAAAAAAAAAAAAAAAAAAAAAAAA